CACCCTGGAACACCCTGGAAAGCCCTGGAACACCCTGGAACACCCTGGAAAGCCCTGGAACACCCTGGAACACCCTGGAAAGCCCTGGAACACCCTGGAACACCCTGGAAAGCCCTGGAACACCCTGGAACACCCTGGAAAGCCCTGGAACACCCTGGAACACCCTGGAAAGCCCTGGAACACCCTGGAAAGCCCTGGAAAGTCCTGGAACACCCTGGAAAGCCCTGGAACACCCTGGAAAGCCCTGGAACACCCTGGAAAGCCCTGGAAAGCCCTGGAACATCCTGGAACACCCTGGAAAGCCCTGGAACACCCTGGAAAGCCCTGGAACACCCTGGAAAGCCCTGGAACATCCTGGAACACCCTGGAAAGCCCTGGAAAGCCCTGGAACACCCTGGAAAGCCCTGGAACACCCTGGAAAGCCCTGGAACACCCTGGAAAGCCCTGGAACACCCTGGAAAGCCCTGGAACACCCTGGAAAGCCCTGGAACACCCTGGAAAGCCCTGCCCCGTGTCTCCATGAGGCTGATTCTGTTGACTTCTTTAAGCAGCAGCTGATCTGTTGTTCAGACAGGTTTAATCTAAATGTTTTAATGTTTTATTTGTCATTTCAACTGTTTGGTTTTAAGGTTTATTGTGTGTTATATTTGTTTTATGTCTGCACCTTGTGAAGCACCTTGTGATGTTGATGTGTGACAGATAAAATGTACTTCCACTACATTAAGGTTTAAGACAGTGAAAGAGACCACGCTCTCAGTGGAGGAGGTGTCAGAAACACTTTAAAATCTGCAGGAAGACAAAGAGCTCAACCTTAAAATGAAACAAAAAATAAACCCCTCCAGGTTTATATCCAATCTAAGCATGTAGACAAAGTGCTGTCCAATAGGAAAGCAGCAGAGATGTGATGTCTGTCAGACGAGTGTTTGCAGTCTAACTGGTCTCTTTAAGCAGGAGGAGTGAACAGGTCAGGATCAGCACATTTCCTCACATGGAGCTAAGTTAACACTGTGTCATTACAGAGGATGGTTGTGTTTTATTGTCTATTAAATCCATGTTGTTTTGAAAGAAATTAATCAACTTCAACTTAAGTTTGAATCAAAGCACATGGACAGGTGAACACAGGTGTATCAGAGGAGGAGCTGCAGTGAGACCACCTGCCAATCAACAATGGTGACATCACACTGCTAACACCTGGAAGCTCCTGCTGGTGAAAAACCTCTAACCTCTAAACCTCTAAACTCTAACCTCTAAACTCTGACCTCTAAACCTCTAAACCTCTAAACTCTAACCTCTAACCTCTGACCTCTAAACCACTAACCTCTAAACTCTAAACCTCTAAACTCTAACCTGTAAACTCTAAACTCTGACCTCTAAACCTCTAACCTCTAAACTCTAACCTCTAAACTCTAACCTCTAACCTCTAAACCTCTTTAAACCTCTAAACCTCTTTAAACTTCTAAACTCTAACCCCTAACCTCTAAACTCTAACCTCTAAACCTCTAACGTCTAAACTCTAACCTCTAAACTCTAACCTCTAACCTCTAACTCCAGAGCCCAGCCTTCCACAACCTGCTTCTTTCACATTATAAATCAAATATTTGTACACACTTAATGTTTCTGTTGTTGTATAGCTGAACAACAAATGTACACTTTGTGTATAAGTACAAAAGGCTGTGGACAGTTTATCTGAAGTCAGCAGTAAGAATACACAAAGTGTCCTGTGTGGTGGACACATACAGTAACATGCTGTGTACTTTCAAGTGTCTACTTTAACACAGTGTGTAACAGTTTGTTATTATTATTATTGTGTAGCAGTGTCAGAGAGGATGTGTTTTAGTGGTTAAATGTGAACTGATCATGTCACAGGATACACTGCAGGCTGTAATCAAACACAAACATCTGAGTTTCCACCTGTAAAAATACACAACATATTTTACACACTGATAGTTAAAACCGGTTATCTGAACACAACTCACTGAAAAAAAACGGTTAAAATCACGTGACTGATGACATCACGGAGTTTAGTGGCATTAAATATTAGAGTTAGAGTTATATTTATTTACACAACTGAGCTAGCTTACCTGCTGCTAGTTTGTCCGCTAAGCTAACAGCGGAGCGTCCACCGAGCATGCGCACTGCTCGTTCCAACGCGTTCGTTTTGGCGCCATGTGGGACTTATCAACAGAACCAGAACCATGGAACCAGAACCGGACTGTATTTATTAAGACAGAAAAACAGAACCCACCAGCAAACTGATGTCCATTCAGCTAACTGTGTTAGCTTCTGCCCGGAACCATCCTCCTCCTCCTTCTTCTTCTTCTTCTTCTTCTTCTTCTTCTTCTTCTGTTTGTTTCTGTTTCTTCTTCTTCTTCTGTTTGTTTCTGTTTCTTCTTCTTCTTCTTCGGTTCTGTTTTGGCGGTGGGTTGTTCGGTGAATTACCGCCACCCACTGGAGAAGTGTGGACTGGTTAACGGTGAAATGATGGTTTTAATCCTTTAGAGTGGAAACAGTCTCATCTTCTCCAGTTTCCACCTGGTAATGTTTTCATGCTGTGAATCATATTTAATCCTGTCTGATAAAATTTCTGCCTTTCTACTGCTTTATCCAGCACCACCTCAACCAATGAGCTTTATTTATGATGAGGTTATTTATATTTAAAAAGAATCGTTACATTATTTATGTCATGATTTATTTCTATTTATTTATAAAGCAATAAAACACACAAACACAAACATGTATGTTCATAATG